TTGACCACCCACATCACAACAGTACCCTGCCATATGAAAAATGATCAACCTCCCAATTAAATGAAAATTTGCTACTATTTACACTGGTAATGATTACCATAAGAGGTAACTAAAACATCCAAGTGGTTTACAAGCTCAAAAATAATCTTTGACATTTGACCACAGAAACAAACCCCTCATTTAACAAGAATGATCTTTATTTATTTTCTACGCAGTGATGATAGTACAATCATTAGTTATCAAGTCTTAACCCGTTTTAAAATATTCATCTTTCATCAAGTGCTAATTTAAAAAAATAAGAATTACTTCCCTCAACATGTAAATGATGCGTCTTTTTTAAAAATATGGGGAGTTTATATACATGACTACTTTCAAGAGAGTGAGACTTCTCTATAAATGTGCCACTGTAGAAAAATGAACTTCTGAATCTATACAAGCAAAATAAACCAATGACATAGTTAATTAAATAAAAGAAGATTAAAGGACAAAAACTAGAATATAAATAGTTAAGTCTGCTAAATGTCAAATGCAACCAAATAATAGTTTGTTAAATGTCAGATGCAAAGGTTTTCCACAATTCTGAATACTGATAAAAAGCAGCAAAAAAAGAAAAAAAAATTGTTGTTTCAGTGCAAAACCTCTTGCAGCCTGATGACTTTGTTTAGGAACAAAGGACTGAAAGAGGCCTCCTGAGCCTTCAGATCCAGCCACCTGCATCTTCCAGGACTCTTTAACCAAGAAAATCCCAAAATCACCACTCCAAACACTCACCCGCAACTACATGGAACAATAAATGAAACCCCAGAAACACTGTATTACATGCGATGGGCAAAAGCAGGGAAGATGAAGCCACTTCCAGTGTCATGTCAGAGAAGTAATTGGTTAATACTTGCTAGTATGTGCTTTACAGTTTATGTCAAATCTGAACTCAGGGAAAAATTCCTTCCTGATGCCAAATGTGGCAGTTGGTATGACCTTAAGCAGTAGACCATCTTGCTAGGTTTCTAATACTGGCAGGAACATCAGAACGCCTTAGTCAATCCCCACAAACCCCCCTAAACTTAGCTGTGGCCAACAAACACACGCCCAGGGGATGGCAAATAACCTGCAAAGACATAAGCATTCACTGTGAGGGGGGAGGGAGAGGAGGCAGTTTCTTCCTGATCCTAACTAATATCTAACAAAAATCCAGAGGCATTGTTAAATTCCTTCCATATTAAAGAGCCACCTCCAACCTGGGAACTGCAAATACATAACTCCACATCCCACACTGGCCAATGAGCCAGAACCCCTTGTCCTATCACACTATCCCTTCCATAAACTTATTCAGTTTGGTCATAAAGATGCAGATTCCTTGCCCCTAATGCATAGAAGGACTGTTTCAAAATTTCACTCATCTGATAGCTAGAAAACACCTTCAAAATTTCAAACTCCCAATTTAAAGTTCATCTACAACCATTTAGTAACCATTTGACCATGCATCACTCTTTTTTCAGCCTAAGAATACCTTTACCTTCCCTACTATATATATGTATTCCCATATACATATTTGTAGAGTGATCATATCCTCTTAGATGTTTCTAAACTAAACAAACTGCTTTAATCTTCTTTCACAACAAAAGGTCTCCATTACCTTAACTGTCTTGATGACCATTTTTTTAATTCCTCCTATTTTAAGTTCATCTTTTTTTAATGCTGATGACCAGAACTGCACATGGTATTATAAATTGTATTCCTCCTCAAAAACTTCATTAGAAATAGCACAAGTCCATCTACCAACACAAACAAACAAACAAGCTGGGAAATCTGTTGTTAAAGGTTTGGTCCTGATTACATGCAACTCAATCACAAGATTCCCACTGATTTCAAAGGTACAGACAGAAGTGACATTTTTTGCCCAACTTGGCCCCTGTAAGCGCTCTACAGCCAAGACCAAACAGAAGTGCATGACTGCAGATCACTTTAAAGGCCCAACCCTGCAAAAATCTGAACTCTCATTGCCTGCAGGTTGAAATTGGAGATGCTCCAAAACAGAATGCATTCTGTAACTTTTGTCTGCGTGCAGGGTGGGGCTCCCTAAAGCTCAGACCTGCTCTGGCACGGTCTTCAGAATGGGAAGCGGGAAAGGGAGTAGGATGAGTTCAGTCTTGGGTTTTTTCAGCTGGTTCTGGAGAGTGGGACAGGTGGATTGGAGCTCCCCTATCCCCCCCAAGGTTAGGGAGCTCCAATCCACCCCACCCTCCACCACTAGCTGGGGAACCCCTAAAAAAAAAAAGCTCTCTCCACTAGCATTCCCCCCTCCCAATCTGAAAATAGTGCCGGGGCAAGGGGGAGAGTGACTGCAGGCTAGCAGCTGCTATAAACAACAGCTGGAATCCCCAACCCCTGAGACCCAACAGCTAACTTCTGTTAGGTCCAGGGAATCGTTGCAAGTCATGGCCCTTCCAATGAAGCACCATAAGTTATAATGGTGAGCTGCCCTTCTGTCTGCACCTTCAGTAGTGCAGCACTGTATCCTAAACTACAACCACTTGTTGTAATCTTTAGTTATGATTTCATCTTCTTTACATTGTCTTGCTAATATCATAGCATAAATGCTTTCATTTCTGCTTTTAATGCCAATTTTTGTTAATGGGTTGAAATGGATATTTTATCACTGGTGAGAATGCAGAGCTGGTGCTCATTAAAATAAGTTTACAGGTTATAGAATGGATTTCATGTTTTCTTAAGTTAAAAATAACAGAATTGTGCTAGAGGTCTGTAAGCAGAGGAAACAGTCTAGTTTTGGTAGAAACAACCTGAAATTGTGTTTATCCTCTCTGAAAGTAACTGTAGAATTTCTAAGTAAGTGAAGTAGTACAATATAGATTTTTTAAATGATGTAATACCCTGATTGCAGCCAAGATTATATGGTCCATGTGAAGATGGGGAAGTCATGAATGTAACCCACAGAAACTCAAGTCAGAGTTCTAGATTGCAAAGGATGCCCAGGGAGTTCCTGCTTGGAATGTTTCTTGTTCTAGTCTTAGAAGTAAAGCAAATTAAGCTTTTTCCACTCTCTTTTTGTTGAAGGGCTCCCTGACAAATTTCAATATGAAATTTATCAGTCTCAGCTGAAGAAGTGCAGGATGTTTCACAAAAACAAATATCGTTTTCCAACTGATTATCATGTATTTGAGCTAGATAGTGTTAATAAAACAAACATATTTAAATAGTCCAACTAAAAATACTAAATATTAATTCTCCCTTCAGGGGCTCAGATTACTCTCTACTTACCTGTAATGTAATCTTACTAGTGCTCCAGCCACTTGGCTACATCCATGCTACTTTTTTTTTTCCTGTGCAAAGAATGTCCTGCTACCATTAATTCTAAATGGAGCTCCAGCACTAATACCAACAGTTAGGCTAGATTCTGATAGCCACTGACACTTCAACACCATATTGTCCAACTCAGCTTGTGGAAGATCTATTGACAGATAGTTTAAAATGCTAATAACTACAAGGGGCTTGCTTTACAGCTGCACTGAAGCTAGCAATGTAAATAGCAGGACATTTTTGCCCAGAATCCCTATGACAGGCAACAAAAGGCCAAAGAGTCCAGGAATAAGGAAGTAGACAGACCTAAAGTTTTAACACTAGCAAGAACAAAACAAAACAAAAAACTTAAATTTCCATGTTGTCTTTTCTATATAAACCAAAGAACCAAAAAATTCTATTTTGTTTTGCAGGTCCCCATTCAAATGGGGACCTGCATCCCCAGGGCTGCCCGGGCTCGGGGCAGGGCACCGGGGCGAAGCCGGATTGGTGGCCAGGCTCCTGGAACTCTCGCCCGGCCTGGCATGCTGCGGGGGCATTCCCGGCCGGAGCCCCCACGTCAACCGCTCCGAACCCAACAGAGCGGAAATTTTCTAAGTCCCACAGCGGACGCCAGGTCCTCCCGGTTCCCCAGCAGGAGAGCCCCACCACTCCCGTGCAAGCACCCCGGCCTGCCCTCCCTCACAGCAAATCACCGGGGCGAAGCCGGATTGGTGGCCGGGCTCCTGGAACTCTCACCCGGCCTGGGCCGAGGAGGCCTGCGTGGGCTCCTGCCGCCCCAGCCCGGGCCCTCCGCCCCTCGCCGGGGTCGCCAGACTCCGACCCCGGGGCCCCGCAGCCCTGCTGGGGCCCGTGGAGCTGCACCTGGCCTGCCCGGCCACAGAGCCCTTGACCAAGTAGAAGCCGGAATTGCGGCCAGGCTCCTGGAACTCTTGCCCGGCCTGGCCGCCAGCTCACTCCCCGGCCGGAGCTCCAGTTGACATGGCACCATACTCAGGTTTGACCTCTCCCTGCAGCACGGTCCTGCCCCGGAGGTTCCGCAGGCCGCCCTCCTGGAACCGAAGATGGGCATCTGGGGTCCCGAAAAGCGCGTCCCCGAAAATCTCCGCAAACCTTTCCCTGCAATATTGCAGATGTGGCACCCGGCCCAGCCACCGGGGGCAACCGCCGAAAGTGTCCGCCCTCCTGGATAGAAGGGCCGGGCAAGGCCCGTTTCAAAAACCTCATATGGACTTCCGGGGCCGGAGGTTGGGCGCCAGGTCGACCCCGGCCGGCCCTCCCGGGCCCCCTGCGCGGCTCCGC